TCTCCTCACGGTTTCTGCCACAGCTCCCTGGAATCCATCTGCCCTTAGCTCAGGCATTGGTCCCTTCCTCCAGTGTGTTGTGGAGCTGTCTCCTCACGGTTTCTGCCACAGCTCCTATGGGAGGCACCTTAGAAGTATCTCTGTGAAGAAGGCCAAACTAACTAACTCAGGTGCTGTATTCTGTGCAAGAACCGTGTTGTATTTCCCGTTTACCTTTTTCTGAAAAATCTGATAGATGGCAGGTAGCCTGCTCATACTATGCACTGGTGTCAGTGGGCTTTGTTTACGGCCGAGCCGCTTTTCTTCTCTTCTCCTAAGTCAATGGGAATATAAAGGCAGCTTGATGCAGCTTAGAAGGAGGGTCAAAAGAATGTAAAATGCAATTTACGGTGAATGGATGATCTCAGAAGCTGAAATGCAAGTTGAATGCATCAACCAGCATTGGTTCATCATCACAAGTTCCCCATACAAGCCAAATCTCCCCAAAGAATAGCTTTAGGTTTAGGGGGGGTCTCTAGACTTTTCAGGACATGGGCTTCATTGTATATTGGTCAAATATCAGGGCAAGACAAACAAAAATGCAAATCAGGGTCCCCATTATCATCTCCCCATACATCAAGGTCCCCATTATCATCTCCCCATACATCAGGGTCCCCATTATCTCCGCATACATCAGGGTCCCCAATATCTCCCCATACATCAGGGTCCCATTATCATCTCCCCATACATCAGGGTCCCCATCAGAGTCCCCTCTTACATCAGGGCCCCATTAGATCAGAAGCAGAGACCATAGGCAGCCTCCGTTGACCTTAACCCTCAATCTGTGGACATTGAGGATATGACTCGGTCACCCTAGCTGCAGGCCGAAATGGAAAATACGTCACCAGAGATTCTCCAAACAGGTCCACAGTTTTATTCAGTGGTCACATCCTATTTACAAAGGCAACGTTTTGGAGCCACACAGGGCCCTTTCTTCAAACAAGTGTTGTCACTTCCTGAAGAAGGGACCCTGCGTGGCTCCAAAAAGTTTCCTTTTTAATTAGGATGTGACCATCGAATAAAGCTTTGGACCAATTTGGAGATTCTCTGGTGTGCTGGTGACATATTTTCCATTTCAGATGTCTTTGGTTTCCAGCCGATGGTTGCTGTAGCACCCACTGACTCCTAACAGCCATTTCCAGGAACATGCTTTGGGAATATTGTGCTTGTACTAGCTACAGGCCAGATAAAATCGTGTAATGGGTGGCATGTGGCCCACAGGCCATAGTTTTGGAGACCCCTGCTATAGATGGACAAACCTCTTAAAAAAGGACAGATTTTGATGAATGAGGAGATTGTATTATTATGAATCCTGTGCTGCAGGACCTCCTACATGTCTTATCTTATGCTGGTCTGAATTCTTTTGTGGTCAACATGCAGGCAAGGTACCATATTTCTTTTATCACAGAAAAAAGCAAACAACCCCATCAGAGAACATTCCATGATAAGAACAGTTCAGAACAGCATTTCTGAAGTTAAGATGAGCTTGAAAATGATACCCTAAACAGTCCAAATGTGTTGAATGTGTTGTTTCATTTACAAATTATACAAGGTCAGCTTTGTTTCCACTGATGAATGGTTTGGAAAACAATTGGTCTGGATAATACAAGAGAATATAGCAGGCTTAATTCACAAAGCTTTACACAAGGATGAGGATTTGTTATCATCCACGTGATTGCAGTTTTAAAATCTATTTGGGCAAACTGTCTTTTTTTTAAATAAGGGTCCTTGTCCTGTTTTTTTAGCTTTGTGAATTGAGCCGATTGTATTGTCAGGATTTTAATACATGAACCTTCCGCTAGTGTGTAAGAAATTCCATGAATGGGGTTGGCTGATTGTACATGGGGCGCCTTTGAGGCTTAGAATGTGGCCTTCATACTCCTGGAGACAGTCTTAGAGTCCACAGCTGTCAGTTCCTATTTGCAACTCATGGCCCTTTTGCTTTTGAGGAGTTACAGATCCCAGTAGTGAGATTTGTAGTTCCTCAGTGATTAGAAGCCATATGGCTACTTTATATGATGTTTTGATTGACATCCCTGTTTCCCTGGACCTCAAAGTCTTCCGTCTTGTACATGCGACCACCCAGCCTGGACCTGGATATTGCATTCCAAGCAACCAAGGAGGCCATTCCTTCCCAGTAGCCCCTTCTGTGGGTTTAAGATTTCCCTTCCTGTGAACCTTTCTACTTCATCACATTTGACACAAAGAGCAGCATGCTTTGCACAAGATGTAATTCCAGAATATTGCTAAATACCGCAACTCCCACAGCAGCAGGCTAGTCTATAATATTGGGCAAGCCGTGGGCTCCCCAAAAAGAAAGCTCTAGGCCCCGGCATGGTGGAAACCTTTATGTCTCCTGTTTACATTACCTTACTGGCCATCTCACAGTGTACTCTTTTCATGTTCAGGTATCCCTCCTGCAAAACATCTCCCATTATCAGTTACCTGGTGGTGTATAAATCTTGTTAGAAATAGCTGGGCTATGTCTGGAATGTGGCAGCTGGCAGTTACAGGGCACAAGCTGTTATTTCTCAGCTATCAGAGCCAAAGTAAATATGTCACTGCTGAGTTCTGTCATTACCTCGAAATGCTTCGTTCATTTAGACAAGCTCTTACATTGTAAACTGGGCCCTGCACAGGGGGAGCTACAGAAAGAATGCAGAGTTTTTTTATAGACTACATTTCTCTAGAGGTGATATTACTACGAGTTTTATGAAGCTCTTAAAACATGTTGACTAAACAGTTTCTATAAACTGCATTATACAAGAAATGCAGGTCCATTGATTAGATCACCCAGGGTGACCTGTACAAATCCCAACACACATCCCTGGATTGATTGCCTGCAGTGCTTGCGGTTTAAACATTTGTTGGAAATTATTATAATACAGTAGTTCTGCTATATTCAAAATAAAGAACATGACACCTCCAATATGACCCAATTACTGGACATAATCACCATACAATTCTATTACACTCTATACATAGAACTCTACACCTCCAACATGACCCACCGCTGGACATGACCATAATACAATTCCATTACACTCTATACATAGAACACTACGCCCCCAACATGACCCACCACTGGACATGATCACCATACAATTCTATTACACTCTATACATAGAACACTACACCCCCAACATGACCCACCGCAGGACATGATCATCATACAATTCTATTACACTCTATACATAGAACTCTACACCTCCAACATGACCAACCACTGGACATGATCATCATACAATTCTATTACACTCTATACATAGAACACTACACCCCCAACATGACCAACCACTGGACATGATCATCATACAATTCTATTACACTCTATACATAGAACACTACACCCCCAACATGACCAATCACTGGACATGATCATCATACAATTCTATTACACTCTATACATAGAACACTACACCCCCAACATGACCCACCGCTGGACATGATCATCATACAATTCTATTACACTCTATACATAGAACACTACACCCCAACATGACCACCACTGGACATGATCACCATACAATTCTATTACACTCTATACATAGAACACTACACCCCCAACATGACCAACCACTGGACATGATCATCATACAATTCTATTACACTCTATACATAGAACACTACACCCCCAACATGACCCACCGCACTGGACCTGATCATCATACAATTCTATTACACTCTATATACATAGAACACTACACCCCCAACATGACCCACCGCACTGGACCTGATCATCATACAATTCTATTACACTCTATACATAGAACTCTACACCTCCAACATGACCAACCACTGGACATGATCACCATACAATGCTATTACACTCTATATGTACAACACTACACCCCCAACATGGCCGACCACTGGACATGATCATCATACAATTCTATTACACTCTATACGTAGAACACTACACCTCCAACATGACCCACCACTGGACACGATCATCATACAATCCTATTACACTCTATATACAGAACACTACACCCCCAACATGACCCACCACTGGACATGATCATCATACAAATCTATTACACTCTATACGTAGAACACTACACCCCCAATAATTTTGTTCAGTCCGTTTTTGGGGTTTTGCGTGGAATGTGTCAGATTTGGTTTTTCGTTTCTCCACTTTTTTGTGTCATATCAATACAAACAAAAGAAATAAACATGAAAATGCCTAAGCACTTGTAATTGCAACAATTTTTGGGCGACCATAGTGGTGCATTATCTAACAGAAATGCAGGAGTGCCAATATTTTTGGCCATGACCATACATAGAACACTACACCTCCAACATGACCATCCACTGGACATGATGAGAATATAATTCTATTACATTCTATTCATAGAACAGTACTCCCCCAACATGACCCACCACCTGGACATGATCACCATAAAATTCTATTACACTCTATACATCACCATACAATTCTATTACACTCTATACATAGAAACTCTACAACCCCAACATGGCCGACCACTGGACCTGATCACCATACAATTCTATTACACTCTATACATAGAACTCTACAACCCCAACATGGCCGACCACTGGACCTGATCACCATACAATTCTATTACACTCTATACATAGAACTCTACAACCCCAACATGGCCGACCACTGGACCTGATCACCATACAATTCTATTACACTCTATACATAGAACACTACACCTCCAACATGACCATCCACTGGACATGATGAGAATATAATTCTATTACATTCTATTCATAGAACAGTACTCCCCCAACATGACCCACCAGTGGACATAATTATAATACAATTCTACCATACCTGATATACTAAGAATACCAGAACAGATACATGAAACCTATGTTTTGTTTAAATATGACACCGTTAATTGTTCTTTGACACCTCAGTGTAATGAAACTGCTACTCCATAAAACTCTATCCATAATGAACCTACTGCTGTATTGTCTCTTTGGAACAGGCTGGCAATTCTGCATTGTCCATTGTTGCTGAATCCGCCCCCAGTGAGATTGCAGAACTTCTACAAGCCCACACAGAGCACCGGCGTTCCTGCCCCGCCGCTGACACGGGAAAAGGAGGCCCATTGTAAACAAGGATGGAGGACAAAAGACTCATTCTTCTCCAAGTTAACTGTGAGAGAGCGGATACCATCCATCTCTGCATTGTCTTCATTACACAAAATATTCCAAATATGTGTATACATAAGCCAGGGATTTTTTTGGAATAGTCAGAGGCAAGTCTGTTCTATCAATTGATGTATATTGACTTGACTAGAAGGTAATATTCACAAACAGTATTAAATGGAAAGAATGGCCTCCTGCCGGTCAAGGAATTATAAGTCCCAGCATGAGGAACTAACTACCCAGCATGCCTGATGCCTTTTGGGGGACCATGGCAAGGAATGCTAGGACTTCTGGTTCCATAATAGCTGAAGAACTTCAGACTATGTACAGTGTTTATAGAGAGGTCCACTCTACCAAAAACAGTATTTCAGGTATGGGTAGATATACAATCGTTCGCCCGCTGCTTCTTGGGAACTCTGGGTCTAGATCTTAGAATTTCAACCTTTTACATTTTTTTTTTGTAAAATAAAACAAATCCAAAAAAAAAGAAGAGAATTTCTCAATACTGGGAACTCTTCGCTGGAATCGCCTTGAGATATATGAAGCCAGTAGGTCACTTAACTGGTCTGTATCTACCCAAACTTGAAACATCAACTTTGGAAGGGGTGACCTTTGAAGCAGTCTAGAAGGTGACCTTTAGGAAGGAGTGATGTCACAGAGCAAGAATGATGTCACTTTCACACTCCTCCTTCCCACTTAGGACCATATAAACGACACAGGAATTATTTCAGTATAACCTAACAGCCTCTTTTGTATTATATATTTAGAGTAGGGAGAACCGTTGTCACTTGTGTGTATATAATATCCTAAGGAATGTTATTTTTGTATATTTCCTGATAGCAGATCTGGTTGATGAGCACAAAGCGCTGTGATGCAGGGCTAGGACTGACCTCTGCTTCATAGGCCAGGAAAAAAAAAAATTGCTTCTTTTTAATAGATCACGGGGGTTTTGCTCTTGTACAGAATTTTTATAGCCTGACAGAAAGCACAAAAATAATTTGAAGTTAGCACAGAATGCATCTCTCACCCTGCCAAGAACGTCTCAAGTCATCTGCTGTTGCAGAATATTGGTACAAAGGCCTGGAGGGCAAAAGATATGTTGTTGGCCAAATCAATAGAGACGTTCGTCTCTTAAGAACGGTGTGCGCTCGGTATTCATTTTTTTTTTTTTTTCCTAATTAGCTACCTCGCCTGCCTTTTCTTCTTCATTTGTTTGATACAATACAGAAGGCTCTGTCGATTCAGAGATGCCAACCTCCACTCCCAATAGCAACCAGATTCAAGAATGGAGAATGGTTAGCAGGGGCGGACTGACAACTCATGGGGCCCCCGGGCAAAAGGGGATCATGGGGCCCCTGTGTCCTTGCCCAAATTCAAAAAAGCCTATGAAAAAAGGTACCAGGGGCATCTCATGGGGCCTTTTTTGGCTACTGAATGGAGACCATTTACTGGGTGATACGGTAATTTATTGTACGACCTCTTAATAACTATCTTTAACAAATGCATCTCATGGGGCCCCCTACTGACCCCAGGCCCTCGGGCAGTGCCCGAGTTTCCAAATGGTCAGTCCGCCCTTGATGGTTAGAGCCTGTTACTAGTACCACCATGAATTCCTGAATCACCTGATGGCATCCCACAGGTAGGTAATCGGTCACAGCACAGGAAAATATAGGCGTGTGCTGGAAAATTGGTTTGCATATGGTGGAAGCTACTGTATTTCAAGTAAGGAGGAGGTGGTTTTCATGGGGGAAGGGGGGGGGGGGCTAAACTCCAGATAAACAAATACAGAGATGAAATATATATATATACACAGTTGCAAGAAAAAATGTGAACCCCTTGGGATTACGTGGAGTTTTGCATGAATTGGGCATAAAATGTGCCCTGAACGTCATCTAAGTCACAACAATAGAAGAACACAGTCTGCTGAACATAATACTACACAAACATTAGATGTTGCCATGGTTTAATTACACATAACATGTAAACATTCACAGTGCAGGGAGGAAAAAGTATGTGAGGCCCTAGCTTAATGACTTCTCCCAGAGCTAATTGGAGCCAGGAGTGAGCCAACCTTGACTCCAATCAGTGTGATGATAATGGATGTGTTGCTGACAGCTGTCCTGCCCTTAAAAAAAACACACACCTGTTTTGGGTTTACTGGTTTCAAGAAGCACTGTCTGATGTGAACCATGCCTCGCAGAAAAGAGCTCTCAGAAGACCTACGATCAAGAATTGTTGACTTGCATGAAGCTGGAAAGGGTTACAAAAGTATCTCCAAAAGCCTTGATGTTCATGTGTCCACGGTAAGACAGACTGTCTACAAATGGAGAAAGTTTAGCACTGTTGCTACTCTCCCTAGGCGCGGTCATCCTGTAAAAATGACTGCAAGAGCACAGCGCAGAATGCTGCATGAGGTAAAGAAGAATCCCAGAGTGTCAGCTAAAGACCTACAGAAATCTCTGGCACATGCTAACATTTTTGTTGACACATCTACAATAAGGAAAACATGAAACAAGAATGGAGTACATGGGAGGACACCACGGAGGAAGCCATTGCTGTCCAAAAAGAATATTGCAGCACGTTTGAAGTTTGCAAAAGAGCACCTGGATGTTCCACAGCACTACTGGCAAAATATACTGTGGACAGATGAAACCAAGACTGAGTTGTTTGGGAAGAACACACAACACTATGTGTGGAGAAAAAAAGGCACAGCACACCAACATCAAAACCTCATCCCCACTGTAAAACATGGCGGAGGGAGCATCATGGTTTGGGGGCTGCCTCAGGGCCTGGATGGATTGTTGTCATTGATGGGAAAATGAATTCCAGAGTTTATCCCAACATTTTGCAGGAAAACGTACGACCATCTGTCCGCCAACTGTAGCTCCGCAGAGGATGGGTGATGCAACAGGACAATGACCCAAAGCATACAAGTCATTCAACAAAACAATGGCTGCAACAGCACAGAATACACCTTCTGGAGTGGCCCAGTCAGAGTCCTGACCTCAACCCGATTGAAATGCTGTGGCATGACCTTAAGAGAGCGATTCACACCAGACATCCCAAGAATATTGCTACACTGAAACAGTTTTGTGAAGAGGAGTGGTCCAAAATGACTCCAGATCGTTGTGCAGGTCTGATCTGCAACTACAGGAAACGTTTGGTTGAGGTTATTGCTGCCAAAGGAGGGTCAACCAGTTATTAAGTCCAAAGGGTCACATACTTTTTCCTCCCTGCACTGTGAATGTTTACATGTTATGTGCAATTAAACCATGGCAACATCTAATGTTTGTGTAGTATTATGTTCAGCAGACTGTGTTTTTCTATTGTTGTGACTTAGATGACGTTCAGAGTACATTTTATGCCCAATTCATGCAAAACTCCACGTAATCCCAAGGGGTTCACATACTTTTTCTTGCAACTGTATATATATATGTGTGTGTGTGTATATATATATATATATATATATATAGGAGCTGTTTTACCTGGCAAAGGATTTGTATTTCTGTCAATCAAGTTCTGGGCTCTGCCACACAGGACCGCCTTATCTGCCATTGCAGAAGACCCGATTTTCCTCTGCTGTAGTTAAAGCGGAACTAATCCGAACTTGTCAAAAACAGCTATTTACTTCAGAAGAGACACGCGATTTCTGCAGTAACACACCTCTGCTTTCTTGCAGTCATTAATTGTATTACACTGAGCTGAGCATACGCAGCTTGGCGTGCATTCCCAGAACACTCTGGCTGTGCCAAACTGAATGACTCCCCCGTGCATGTGCGGAATGACGTCACCCCCCCCCCCCCCCCCCCCCCCCCCAACTGGCCAATAAAGAGGCACCTGGAAGTAGTCAAAGGAGATGACATCTGGCAGGGGATGTAACTGCTGGAAGGTTGAGGTGAGTATTTTGAGGGGTTGAGATCCACTGTAGATAAAAATTACAGGTCCTGTTCCTCCCCCAGCCTGTGCCCAGACAGGGATTGAAAAGCATCAAAGAGCTCATTTCTCTTTCTCCTTGCTTTCTCTTATCAGCATGTCCCTTGTGAGCAGATGAGCTCTGTAGCAAAACTAAATGACACCTTGTGCCACTCATTGCTCTCTTAGTCTGAGCTCTGCTGTACAGGGGAATGCAGGGAGCCAATACCAAGTCAGATTCATGTGGTTTCTGTGTTGCATTTACCAAATGCATTTAATGATTTATTAAAGTGGTTCTAAAGGTAGAAGTTTTATTTACCTTAATGTATTCTCTGCATGAAAGTGAAAAACCTTTTATATGCAGCTTCCCTGCCCCCCCCTCGCATTCTATGCATGAAAGTGAAAAACCTTTTATATGCAGCTTCCCTGCCCCCCCCTCGCATTCTCTGCATTAAAGTGAAAAACCTTTTGTATGCAGCTCCCCTGCGCCCCCCCCCCCTCGCATTCTCTGCATTAAAGTGAAAAACCTTTTGTATGCAGCTTCCCCCCCCCCTCGCATTCTCTGCATTAAAGTGAAAAACCTTTTGTATGCAGCTCCCCTGCCCCCCCCCCCTCGCATTCTCTGCATTAAAGTGAAAAACCTTTTGTATGCAGCTTCCCCCCCCCCCTCGCATTCTCTGCATTAAAGTGAAAAACCTTTTGTATGCAGCTTCCCCCCCCCTCGCATTCTCTGCATTAATGTGATAAACCTTTTGTATGCAGCTCCCCTGCCCCCCCCCCCCCCCTCGCATTCTCTGCATTAATGTGATAAACCTTTTGTATGCAGCTCCCCTGCCCCCCCCCCTCGCATTCTCTGCATTAAGGTAAAAAACCTTTTGTATGCAGCTCCCCTGCCCCCCCCCCCTCGCATTCTCTGCATTAAAGTAAAAAAACATTTGTATGCAGCTCCCCTGCCCCCCCCCCCTCGCATTCTCTGCATTAAGGTGAAAAACCTTTTGTATGAAGCTTCCCTGCCCCCCCCCTCGCATTCTCTGCATTAAGGTGAAAAACCTTT